TTACTTTACCCTAAACTGCTGGTAATTTGTCAAAATGTGTTTTGCTAACATATCTAAGTGGAGATTTGCGGTTTGGAATAGGAGATTGCAACATTGATGATTACTGTATTTTCCGCACTATAAGGCGCACCTAAAAACCTTCAATTTCCTCAAAAGCCAACAGTGCAGAGAGAGAGAGAGACTGCGGCGGCAGCGTGTCGGTTGGTCTGTGTTACCCAGGCGATTTCTTAGGTCTCCACTGGGACCTACCTTTTCCGTTTTCTAACGAGCTGTAATCCAAACAGCGATTTCTTAGGTCTCCACAGGGACCTACCTTTTCCGTTTTCTTAATGTTGTTGTGTTTTTGTTAATGTTGTTGTGTTTTCATTAATGTTGTAGTGATTTTGTAATTTGTAATTGTGCTTCGTTAAAGTTGTTGTGCTTTGCACCTCAGGGCCACCGTACAGATGGGCACAATATCGCAACACCAACACCGTGAGTGAAACAATGACTGCGGCAGCCTACTATATAAAGTACTCGGGGACCACTTCATTATTATTACAGGTCCACATTTGTAGAGTATGGAACAAATTGTGTCCCATATAGGTGGCACCTGGCACGGGACGGTGCCAACCCGTATAAGGGTATATTTTATGCGCCTTATAATGCGGTGCGCTTTATATATGAAAAAGTTTTAAAATAGGCCATGGACCTTACCAAGAAACCCAGAAACGCCCCCTATAATCCCACGTGGCTGCATGTCTCACAAACAAAGCCTCGTGGAGCTTAGTTTCTATGTGTAAACATGGCGTCTTTCATTTCGACTGACTCTCTGCAGAGTATTTCTGAGTCGATTAGTGTAGCATTCCTGCCGGATTTTCACAAACTATCAGCCACGACAATGGACAGGGGAACCAACAAGTTCATATCATCTATTTTGGACGACATCAAGGTGTTTGAGCCACTCGATGCCTCCAACACTGTGCGCGTCACAGCAAAATGCTACCGGTCAGTGGCTTGTGTTTGTGAGACGGTCACGCACGTGGTAGCTGCGCTGTGATAATCTGCATAATCTGCAGAAAGCAGGCACGCAATCATAAGGCCACCAAATCAAACTCCCTAAATGTCTTAGTTGCACCTACAGATTATTNCCACTCGACTGTGTGTTCAGTGTATATATATATATATATATATATATATATATATATATATATATATATATATATATATATATATATATATATATATTTCCATCCCTGATTCTTCAGAAATGACTCCTCAGTAAGGGATCATAGAAATGTAAAGCTCAAAGCTCAACCTGCTCTATAACACCATCGTAAAATTTGAATGAAAGATGGTGTATGCAGAACGATCCCCAAAAATATTTGTAGGTGATCAAGCAGGCGCACACTTGGCCCCAGTTCAAATTGTCCACAATAAACCTAGCTTTAGAGAGAACTAAAAGTGAAGGAGTGATCACATGTGGAAGGAAATGGCTGACAACATGATCTGAAGTTATTTAGTTGAAAAAATTAATAGCATTAAGTCCTACACAAGTCTTCATGGGGGCTAGGTGGTCTTGTTGGCAGGCTGGAGCGCCCATGTTTGATAATGGCAGGTGAAATGCTGCTCAATTACAAGGCTCATGCAAGATTTTTATTTCCTCCTAGCTTATTGCCGTATACCTAAAGGTGGAGAAAACTTGGTTCTCACTGACGAATCCCTCCTAAAAGAGCATTTCCCAGATGGAACCGAGGTCATATATAAGTGCAGCAATGGATTTGAAAAAGAACGTGGCTCTGAGAACATAACCTGCATTGATGGGAATTGGACTGAGCCAGATCTAATCTGCAAGAGTGAGTCCTGTCTAATTTACACATTAAAGTTACTTTACCCTAAAGTGTTGGTAATTTGTCAAAATGTGTCTTGCTAACATATCTAAGTGGAAATTTGCGATTTGGAATAGGAGATTGCAACATTGATGATTACTATGAACAAAATCTATAAGCAAATGGACGGTGCATGAATGTCAGTTATAGATAATGTCTGTTGTACATGCCAAATTAAAATTAGCTGCATGTTGCATGTCTAGAATATATCAAAATTCAGAAGAAATGTACTTCGGATGATTGCAGCTGAATCCTTTGTGAAAGGATAAACCACAGAAGCCAAAATTGCAACCAAAAGTATTTCATCTGCTCCTGCAACAAAACAATGTGTAGAATATGAAACAAGAATATTTTGGCACAGTTTCACATTTTTACTGTACTTTGTGATGAGGATATTTCTATAAAAGTTTATTAAAAAGAATGCGTCCCCTTTAGAGACTTCCTTACCACACCACAATATTGAGTCGGGTTGTGGGGATAGCAGCCTCTGGAGGGAGTCCCAGATTTCCCTCTACCCAAAAACCTGGACCAGCTCCTCTGGCAGAATCCCAAGGCGTTCCCAGGCCAGCTGAGAGATATAGTCCCCCCAGCATGTCTGGATTCTTCCTGTGGTTCTCCACTGAGTAAGAAGTCTCTGTAGCACCTCACCAGGGAGGCATCCAGGAGGCATCTTAACTCGATGCTCGAGCAAC